TAACACTATATATTAAATTTTGTTGTCGTGCCACAGCTCAAATAGCTTAGAGAATTGTCATGAGAGCATAGAGTTCACATAAAAGCTTTACATGATGCTGATTGGACTCACTGACAAATTGCTGCAGACTTGAAATGCTCTCTAAACACTGTCAAGTACACCCTGGATTGTGAGACTGAGACAGGTAAATTTGAATATAGGAAAGGAAGAGGCAGAACCACCTAAACTCAGTGATACTGATGTTAAGTATCTTCATTTATGCAGCCTTCGGGACAGAAGGAAGACTGTCATTGATCTCAAGCACAAGATAAACGACCATGTACCAAATGACAGAAGAGTGTCCAGATTTAAAGTATAAAAAAAAACTCAATGAGAATGGAATATTTGGTCATGTAGCAGTTAAAAAAACCTTTACTTTGATCTCCAAATAATGTCAAGAAATGGAAAGTTTGATAAAAGGTACAAAAACTGGACTGTTGATCACTGGAAAAGGGTATTATGGATGGATGAGTCCAAGTTTGAAATATCTGGTTCAAAGCGTAGCACCTACCATGAAGCATGAGGGAGGCAGTGTGATAGTTTGGGAGTGTTTTCTACCAAGGCAACAGGAGATATTTGCAAAATAGATGGAATAATGGGCCAGTGCAAACACCATCATATACTGATCCATCATGGTATACCCAGTGGTTTGCTTATTATTGATAAAGAATTCTACTACCAAGAAGACAATGACCCCAACCACTCGTCCAACCTATGCAGAAATTACATAGCTAAGAAAGAAGCTGCTGGAGACATTCAAATGATGCAGTGGGCCTCACATAGCCCCAGTTCTCAACCCAATTGAGCAGATCTGGGATTTGATAGATCAAAACTTGACAAATCAAAAGTTACTTCCAAAGAAATTTTATGGGAGTGTATTAGAGACATTTGGAGTAAACTCCAAAGGACACTCTGATTAAATATGTTGCAACAATGCCTGAAAGACTGTCTGCACTTATTAAAGCAAAAGGGGAGACACAAAATATTAATTTTTTGCTGAACTCAAGCACTTCTACTGAGTTTCTGTTGTACTAAATATGAAGATTAATAAAATTTTGATGTTTCACATGTGATTTTCCTTCCATTGTTCTTTGAAAGTAGCCTGAAGTCCAACTTTTGGCTTTGTCCTAACACTTTTGCACAGTACTATATATATATATATATTGTGCAATGTCATATAAAGGGGGTCAAGATACTGAGACTAAGTATTCTTGTTTTAATCATTATCTTTCCAGTTCATTTACAGAAACAACCATTGTTGGTGAATGAAGCAGTAATGTGTTTGACCCATCTCACCACAAGTGATTTTGTTTTTACATCTTAAAAATCATCTCCAACAGATGTCAGTTCCTACACAGTAATGATTTGGTCTCCATTCATTAATCATCAGTGATTCACTGTCAGCTTGGTCTTAGTATTCCTCTAGTTGTTGCAGTTGTGACTTATCTGTATGTAACTTTTTATTCCACTAGTATGAGACTTCAGTTTGGCCAAACTTAGAATAGTGTGTTAGTATTAATCTGTTTTATTACAAAGAATATGAATATTGTGATGATTATCTTCTAGTATCATGACAGTTCTCCCCATTTAGTCATGAGATCACATACAATAACATTGACTAACTCATTAAAAACAAATGCAGAATCCCTGGAAGTTATTTATCAACACATAAAGACAAGTTGCAAACCATACTTCATGATCACTGGACATGTGACATTCACATGCTGAGTTGTGAACACAATCACATTCTTGGGCACTTGTAACAAATGCTAACTCATTTTAAAAATAAATTTAGGTACAAATAGATTGAAAAACCTACATGATAATTCATATCAAGTGCTGTATTTGTTTTTTATATTTATGGCTATATGCTGCCATCCCTAATTTGGAACTATGTGGACTGACCATAGGGAAGGAAGTCAGTCACCCTACCACCCACCATCCATACTAATTGATTGACCATCACTCGTATAATGTACTGATGAGTTAAAATAAAAGGAATATTTTATGATACTGCATAAATTTGAATGCACCTTACTGAGTGTAAAGTTCATTGCTCTACCTCAGACAATCTGCATGAGTGATTCTTGGTTTAAAAATAAATTGTTAAAGATGATCTGTAAGCCTTGGACTAGAGTGTATGAGGATTAAATGCAACTTTATTCAAGTATTTGACAATTTTAGGGGATTGTATAATCTGTTTCTAGATGGCTTGTTTAAGTTGTACAATGAAAAATTAGAAATAGTGACTTGATTATTAAAAGTGGTGAAATCATATTTTAACACCTTTTACTTGTCATAAAAATATATCTATTATTTAAACTGTTTGATAACTTAGAAATAAATTTGAAGAGTTAATAATTGAAATTAAAATATCTAAGGAGATTGTGTATGTTTTATTTACTGAACTGACTTATTTTCTTCTTGTAACGGGTAGTGCCCCTAGCGCTAGTTGTTGGAGTTTCAATTATACTGCCGGTTACACCAAATTTATTTAGTGGAAGATTTGCAGTGGCGAGTGGAGCTCACAAGTTGCTAACTCGAGGTATTTTACAGTTAGAATAAAGAATCAGTTCCAGACTAATACTGAACAACTTATAATAACATTTATTATCTTTTTCCATATAACATTCAATATTAGTCAAAAGTTCATTAATCGTTAACTTTTTATAATCTTTACTATTACTGTTAATCCATATTAACAAGTAGTACATATAAAATACATTTCTTTAGTACAACATGAATATCCTTTTACTATTAACTACATTAATTGATCAAGAGAGACAATAATCTTATACTTACAATTAAGCTGGGCTAGTAAACCTTTGGAAGTTTGAGACTTTCATATTCATAGTGCAATCACGAACTGAAGAACAGCTAACTAGAGCTGAAGAACTACTGGAGAACTTGAAGAACTGATTTTTTGGTTTCAGACATGAGTTTTTAACCCATATTTTTTTGGTATTCTCTCGACCTTCCAACTAGTGTCCAGAACTACCCGCAAGTAGTTCTAACACTTTATTGGTTGATTTGAGCAACTTCCCGGGCTAGTCCAAAACCATAACCAAAACTCTCAAGTGATTGGTTACATTTATGATGAGTTAGCTGGTTGCCTTTCCACTTGTGCTAGTACACTAACGTCATGTAAGAAATATGGCATCAAAGTACCACTTTTGCGTGTTAACATCGACTATTTTGTAGCTGCCACAGTGCTAACAAGTTAGCATCAGTAATCCATCACAACTTGTTATGGGTGCTTGTGCACTTACTTCGTTGTTAGCCAATATCTTTACGTGACTCTCAATACCACTGACCCAGCTAGTTGTACTTTCTAGCTTTCAGCCTTATTTCGTAATACAAGCATCTTTACTTACGCCATTTCTCCATGTATATGTTCACTCAAAAAATGTTTATAACTTCTTTCTTAAACTCTTTTCAACTACTAAACATACTGAAGCAATTGTAAAAGTCCCTCAAAAATATCAAATTGCTTTATTCTTGTGCAGCCACTTTCTCTGTAAGAAAATAGTTTTTTAAAAGTGCTTATTTTAAATAAAAGTCTACATACATGCTATGAATTTGTAGAAAAACCTAAAACATTTAGAAACTTTTCAATGTCATCTACTAATGCTACTAATGTTTTCATTAACAACTTATTCAAGTTAATACATTTCAGGAAAAAAAATTACTATTTGACTAACAGTAGAAAAATTGAGCTGTCTTAAATATCATAACATAAAATTTAAGGACAACAAGGGGACCTGTTGGTCCATCTAGGCCATCTCATCCACTAAAACTTTAAAATAAAAATAAACACTCAAAGTCATTCTTTGTCATCCAGATATGTATTAAATTTTCACATTAACAAAGATTTATGTTAATATTAGGCTGCTCCCTTGTACCAAAAGGCCAGTGTTGTACAACAGTTCCTTATTTGTTGAATACCAAGAAAATCAGTCATATACAACAAAACAACCCACTAGAAGAAGAAAGAAAAAATGAACTGCATACTAAAACAATACAATCAAAAGCCCTTAAAAAAAAATCAAACTCTTTCAAATTATGATTTTTAAATCCCTACAGCATCAAAAATAATGACAAAATGAAACTATCCTCTTTGTCATTCATTCAGACTTGTGTGGGAGCAAATAGTCGTGAGTTAAACATATATATATTTGTATATACTATACACAACTCTTGTAAATTGTTTAACCAACCATAAAACTTCTTCTGGACTTTTTTCCTGCACTATACGTTTTAATACATCTTATTTTATATACATTTAGATTATTCTGGCTCTCACCACTGTCTAGTCCGAGTTTAAAGCTGCCCTTACAGTTGAGTTAAAAATCTTAGCAAACAAACGAGGCTCTACCATATTTAAATGTAAACATCTATTACAAAAAGATCCCTTTTACCATCAGTATGACCCCACAAGTTCAACCAAACAGTCTACTTATTCTTACATAATAATCTAAGCTTAGCTTCAGTCCTAGTGACCTAGTTAGTTCTCAGCAGTATCCCTGACAGAAGTAAATTATTATGGGCCATTTTCTTTCAATGCCTTTATGGACTTCTTGTACTTATCATTTAGCTCCTCTGACTTATCCTCCCTTACATCATTATCTCCTATATACACTACAAAGACTGCATCACTGTTAGCACCCTTTATTATATCACTTGCACTGTCATTTATATCTTCCACTCCTGCCCCTGGATAGCAGGATCTAATTCTTTTCTCCTTATTTACTCAAAATACTAACCTATTCATGTGTTGTGTTAGTTGATGATAGTATTACTGACATTTAATTTTTTGTTTTGTGTGTGTGTAATTTGAGTATGACTCTCTACTGAATTAAAAGACTATGTACATGTTATAAAACATATAAACTTTTGAAGTTGAAGGTTGACATGATAAAAACTAGTTGATGGTATCCAAGGTAGTACTTCTGGTATTTGTCTAATTTTTTGTGGATATTTTTTAGCACCTGAAATACCATATTTTTCGGAATATAAGATGCACCGGTGTATAAGACGCACCCTTATTTTGAAGACAAAGTTTTGGGGAAAAAAAAGCTACAGTCGCATTTGAAAGATTTTTATTGAACAAAAATTCAATTTGATACTTTAAAAATTATATATATTGTTCTAAACACAAATAAGCTCAAAACATCAAAATAAGAAAATACCATAAATAAAAAAAAAAGGTTTGCTGTTATTTAGTTTGGTTCAAAACCTACAAAATCTTCATTGCTTTCACTGTAATTTTTTTTTTATTATTTAGGGAGCAATATAAATAGTTGTGCTTTTAAAAGAAAACAAAACTACTATTGTTATAAATAACACATTCAATTGAACTAGACTATGCATGCCTATTTAAATATATTTACACATGGCTTGTGTATATCATATATATATATATACATATATA